CGCAACTCCTGTGTAGAGAGAGGTACAGGTTGGTGCATCAGGGCTCATGCAAAAGGAGAAGATGGAAGTTGTGTTGTGTTTTTAATATGGGAGGTGCTATCGGTGCCTTCTCGTCCGTTTGTTCTTCCCACTTGGACCACAACTCTCTCCGCCGGGAGCACACGCTCCCGTCCAGGGGGCTGCTGTGGAACTGGAGAAAACACGGGTGCCGAAGGCCACCCTCTCAGGAGAGGCCGGGAGGGGCCAAGGGCCGCCTGCCACTCAGCTGTGTGTCAGAGTGGAGGCCGGGAGGTGCCTGCCAGAGGGAAGGAATCAGGGAAATGACGAGGGGGCCGCTTCTTGGATGGGGCACAGCTCCTTGCTGAGAGGGAGAATGGCTGGTATTTAAAAATAACAGAGGCTCCCAGCAGGTCCATCCACCTTGGGCCACCCACCCCTCCGCCTGCCTGCCTGCTCCTCCGTGCGCCCTGGTTCCGAAGCCCACAGCCCAGGAGGGGCTCAGAGACAGGAAGGCGCTGGCCTCCAGTCCTTTCTGAGAGAACAGATCACTCCCTGGTTTCCTGGTGACAGCTGGCGCGGGGCCAGGCAGACTCCTACCAACCAATGGGAGGGGTTCGTTCCAAGGCCTCACTCTCACCCAGGATTTAGCCAACCCTGTGCTAGACCTGCCTGCCTGCCTGCTGGTGCGCCCCTGGCCTGATTTCCGTGGGAAAGGGAGGGGACTGTGCCCAGTGGTGACCTGCCAGCCCCGGGCCCTCCTGCTCACAGGGCCACTGCCCAGGCCTCTCCTGAGCTCCGCTGCCTTGACATGTGATCAGTCCCAGGGGGCCCCCAGGCTGCGGTGGTGGCCGTGGGCAGCCCTCACCTCTAGTGAGGAGTTGTTCCCTTTCCACTGCAGAAAGAAAGCCCTTTTCATTGCCGAAGGTGGGTCGTTTTTCCTCCTGGAGAATGAATGGAACCTGAGGGGCCCTGGAAGGAAGGCTTTCCCCGGGCGAATAATGGGGCTGCAGGGAAGGCTCTCCGGGGGAAGCCACCAGGAGGCCTAGGACAGCCACGGGCATCCTGTCCACCCTCACCCCCCACCGCACCCCCACGATGCCCGGCCGACGGGTGCTTTCTCCTCTGGAGCCTCTGTCTAGGATTCTAGGAAGGAGGCCCGAGAGCAGTGGCCGCCTGGCCTGGACCTAAAGCTCCACAAGGCCGAGGAGCCCCATCCCCTGGCCAGGGAAGGCGGGGTGGAGGTCGGGGACGCGAGGACTGCAGCGCCCCATGCTGACAGAGCAGGTTTGCACAGCATTCCCATCCCTGGGGAGGGCAGGGCAGGCCCTCCGTCCTCACTCTGCACGGGGGAATGTCGGGGTCTGGCAGGCCAAGTGCCCTGCCCAGAGTCCCCAGGGAGGACAACTGTGGGAATTCAGACTCCGATCCTGACGCCCCCTCCAGGGCCTCCCACACACGGTGCTTCGAGGACCCCGTGCTGGGCAAGGGTGTGTGTTGGGTGGGGGTGGCGGGGCGATGGGTGCAGCCCAGCTGCTGGGCACCCGCAGGGGGATGGGGACGGAGTCACAGTCTCGCTGATGCCGGAGCTGGGAGAGACCTGGCACGGGGAGCCCAGCGCCCCAACAGGCAGATGTGGAAACCAAAGTCTGGAGAAGTCAAGGGCTTCTCCCACCCGGTGGCCGCCCAGTCCAATACCGGCCTCACCTCGTGTGGCCTCTCAGGGCTGTCCCCGTCCCTGCCTCTGCGCTCAGCTACGCTTAGCAGATGTCACGCAAGGTCTGCGGGGCCCAGGGGGTGGGAAGGACAATTAGCTGCAAGGCTTGGTGCTCACTGCGGGGAGCACTCTGGGCCGTCTGGTAGGAAAGGGGGTCAGCCCCATGGTCAGCTTCACCCGGCCGTTTTTTTTTCAGGGTGGGGGGGATGAAAGGAGTGGGGGGGATTGTGAAAAGACCATCAACTGTCAGGAGCCAGGACCCATCCCTACCTTGGGAAAGGAAACACAGAAGTGAGAAACCATTGCGGATTTCACATCTGCCTCTGTGTGCACAGAGGTGCACGCTGGTCTGTGCGCGAGCAGCCGGCCCCACACCCTGACAGAAAGGCCCCTCCTGCCCCGAAGAAGATCTCTCGTTCGGAGGGTGGGGAAGGGGGACGGGCAGAGGCAGGTACTCACCATGATGCCGGTGAGAAGACACACACCTTTGCCACAGTATGTGTGGGGCACCATGTCCCCATAACCAATGGAAAGGAATGTGATGGAGATGAGCCACATGGCACCCAGAAAGTTACTAGTTACGTCCTGCTGGTCATGGTACCTGCCAAGGGGAAGACAGGAGTTAGTGGAAGGAGCCACCATGTCCGAGAGCACGGGCTGCGGGCAGATCCTGGCGGGGACGGAGGTGAGACCGTTCCCTGAGGCGGGAGCAGCAGCGATGGTGACAGGGAGATCTCATTAGGCAACTCAAGGTGCCAGGACTCTACCCACCCGGGTCCTGCTGGCAGCTCCCGCTCCCCCCGCCCCCACATGCTTGTCCCAGAGGTAAATGCGGGGCCACGGCTCGCACCAGATTGTCGGCGTCCCTTTGGTGCTGGTAAAATAGCTTTGGATGAAATCAGGAGGTAATAAAATTTAGATTTTCCCCTTTCAACCGACAGTCTAATGCATGTGGATGTGATTAATTTGAAAGCACATGCTCCTGAACAGGAAAAATGTAAAAAAAAAAAAATCGCCAAACATATTTAGCAATTTCCTGAAGGTTGATGGATCCCCAAGACTGGCACCTCCCGGCACCTGGAGGGGGGTCCTGGTGGGTTCTCAAGAGCTGTTTCCGGGGGTGCTGGGCTCTCTGCCGGGGGGGGGGGGGGGGG